CTATCATTTTAGTGCAACTTATTATTATTATCTGAGAAATTTATTTAGTAGGCTGATGTATCTAATGGAAAATTTGAAGATTTCTCAATGAGACCTGTTGTGAATTTATTCTTGTTCGTGGTACGATATCATGTTCTACATTATGTAGTTGTTAAGTTTGTTAATCTCAAAAAAAAAAAAAAAAAAATTGCCTGCAATTATAAAAAGATCAGTCTAAATAATTGGTTCTTTCTGATTATCCGCAACCCCCTGAAAAATATTTATAAGGCATTGCCAAAGTAGGCAGCCCATTGTGTCACTAAGATGTGTTTTATGTTGCAAGCCAGGTTTGCATCCACAGCAGGCTAGTGTAGGTTCAATGTCTTCAAATTTGACTTTTTCTGATTAGTGTTTGTTTTTGTCACATTGAGTACATTTTTTTAATGTTGTAAGAAATCATAATGGAACTGTAGAGTTTATCCTGTCTGCTCTGCGTTTTTTCAAAAATTATGGCATTTTGTGCAGCAATTGAAAATGCAACAATTTGAAATCCATAAAGTTGTATTTCTTGAACAATCAGGTTTTATAGGTCAAAATCTGTGCTTGATGTTGAATTTGTGTAATTCTCTGATATTTTCTAAGTGAAAATTTCGTGGATTTCTTGAAAAACATGTGTTTTGTTATAGTTGTTTAATGCCTTTTTTTTTTTTTTTCCTCCTTAGCCCAGGATGGCTATTAATTTCATTTTGGCATTTTGTGTTGAAAACTTTAAATGTCTGTTTCACTTTTTAAATTGTTGCCACCAAATATCAAATCGCTTTGTGTTATATTTAAAGAAGTTAAATAATGAAGAATCTGCATAAATGTGTGAATGTTTCTGGTATTGTGATAAAAAAAACTGTACCTAGAGCCATCCAATTTTGAATAACATACGTCTCCACCCGAATCTGGTCGTTGGACCCAAAGAGCTATTAGTTTCAAAACAGCATTTTGCGTTGATTCACTTTTCAAGCTGTTGCCACCAAATATTAATCACCATGTATTATATTTAAAAGCAATTAATAATGTAGAATCTTCATGAATGCATGAATGTTTATCGCATTATGAAAAAACAACAGTACCTAGAGCCAGCAAATTTTGAATAACATAGTCTTCCAATTGAACATTGAGTACTTGGAAGCCCAAATTTTGAATGTTGAATTTGTTTTATTACCTTTTTCAAATTTTGTGAAACTTTAATGAATATTTGATTAACAGTCTCAATGATTTCAAAGCGAGGAATGGCAACACTGTATGGGGGAAAAAAAAATTTATTTCCAGTGTGTGAGACTGTGTATCGGAAATTCTAAAGATATGCTGTTTTTAAATATATTGTGATATTGCTGTTGATATGTGATTGAAGTGTGAAGCACATATTTAATAAAGAAAGTTACCTCACAAAACATTAAAAAAATGCCCTTTATATTATAAAATCTGAAGTCTTTGAGATTTTTTTAAAATTCATTTATTATACTTTTTTGGAATTCTTAGTGTGTCACCATTTTCAAAATGTTTCTTGCCTTTCATGTATCAACTTAATGAAAAATTAGTTGTCGGTGGGTTAGCAACTTTCCAAGATGGTGTAGATAATTAAGATCTAAGTGTATATAATTAGAAAGTATATTTTAATCTTTATATATAACTTTTTGATCTCAGGGCTTAAGCACCTGTAAGATCCTAAAAAAGAGCAGAGTTTCTTTAACTAATGCTTTCCCTCTTTCGTGAAGTTCCTTGCTGTTTGCGACTATATATACACACTAAACTCAGTGGCGCAACAGCCCTAATGGGCTATGGCCTGTAGTGCCTTTTTCTGCTTTTTCTGATACTTGGGCCCCGGAGTGCATCAGCATATGCCCTGGGCAAGTGGTCAGCTTGTCGCAGGCGCCCCGGTGTTTAGTCCCCAATAAAGTTGTTACTCATTTTATCGTCTCACTTAAAAAATGAAAGGCTCAACCTTGTCCAGGCCAGTGATCGAACCCTGAACCTGTGGTGTAGCTGCGTGACATGCTAGTCATTTCAACACCGGGTGACCATATATATATATGTAAGATCAAAAATATGAAAGCAAATTTCTAAATTTAATTCACTATAACCTTTTTAATTTTTTATTTCATTTAGAAATTTCATCTATCTGTCCTAAAAATAGCGCTGTAAATCTAAACTGTGTCATTCAAATTAATCATGTGAGCTTATGTAACCCTTAATGCAGATGCTTCTTGACCAATCACCAAAATTGTAAACCAAAACTAAAAACTGAAACTTTTGACTCCCTCCCTTCTTTCTATGTACTGATGCTTCACTTTTACTTGTGCTTTCCTCTTGGCCAGACGTCTTTCTGCAATCGTGTGTGCTGCTGTATTCGCTTCTATGCCAATAATATCAAAATTGTAAATATTCTTTAATAGGCATGAGTAGAGTGCCAAGTGAGTTGTGGCCACAAAATCGGAATTTAAATTTAAAAGGAATGTAATCCGGCTCGACTGCTTCTTCTTCAAAAATGGATGGACACTCTAAGCATCAAGTATCTACGCAATTAATATTTCTACACATCTACGTCTCAGCATTCGTATTTCAATGCCTTTAAAATTGTTCTGTCATTACATTCTTCGGCCAGTTCTAATTATGAAAAATTCTACACGAGTTTGTTAAGGTATGTTCGCAGTGAATCATGGGAAAAGTCCTGCTTCATCGGAAATTTTAATGCAAGTTTGTACCGCATTCACGATCAAATCATTCATGTCGTGTCATCCAACCACAGTTTCATTACATATATATATGTGTGTATACATTTGTAATATGATTCTTGCTTAGAGGGGTGTATTTACTTCTGAAAAGGAAGGACAATGCAGGAATTATTGAATAACTACTAGATGCTTTTTCTTATCGCTAGAAAGTTTAAAGGTACAACCGTTTCCAAATCAGACTTTTTGGATACACAGAAGGGAATGTGTATTTCTGTTATAGAAAATGTCATTTTGTTTCTTTATATAATTTTCTTCTCTCAATTCTTTCTGTTGTATTTTAAAGCTATGTTATAAAACTCGCTATTTTATTTTATAGATATTTTAAATCTTTTATATTTATCTGCTATGGTGTTTTTGCTGCCGTACCCAAATCTCGAAAGTGCTGCCCCCAAGCTTCTAAAATTAAAAAAAAATAAAAATTAAAAAAAAAAAAAACAGATTTATAAAACGTGATAACCAGGAAAATATGTTCTAAGTGAATTAAGACAATAGCACTCATACAATGTTGACTTTTTTTATTAAAAGCACACAAACTTTGGAAACAATACTTTAAAACAATAAAGAATACTAGTACAGTACGGAAAATTTAAACCTAAATTAAAATAATTTCTTTCGAACTTTTTTTCTGTAAAATCGTGAATAACTTCTTTCATGTCTAATTTATTATTCAATTCATGTACAATATCTAACATTGCTAATCCATTAAGACAATTTTGAGTTAACATTGTTCAGAATTTTAATTACAAAAGTAATTTTTAGTGTAGAAAAAGATCTTTCGCTGGTAGCAGCAGTTGTGGGCAGGTTTAGCGAAATTCTTAACAGTATGCTTCAATTTAACCCAATGTTAAGGTAGAATATAGCAGCCAGTCTTCTGACACATATTCTCCATTTTTTTAAATTCTGTGTTTAAAATTATTAAATGAACTTAAAATATTAAAGGTGCAGGTAGAACAAGCAATACAAACTTACCTGAAAAAAAGCATTTTCACCTCTATTATGGTGTAATTGTTACATAAACTATATCACTACCACAATCCAAATAGACCCTGTGGATGTTACTGCATAAAAAAGTCACTGTTTTAAATCTGACTCTCTTTTATTAGAGAGTAAAAAGAGTTTGTGAAATCCTGTCGGCAGCTGGCGCACATTTCTCATTTTGCACCGCATGGTCGCATCCACTTTGTCTGTTCTTGTCTGCTGTGCATCTCAAAATATAGGAATAGCCAAAAAGCCTTTCAATGACTGTTGTATATCATTTTATTTTAATATTCCTTTATGCTGCCCAGATGGTATAGTGGTTAGGGGAGCCAACTGCAATACCAAAGTGCCTGGGTTCGAATCCCAGAAAAAGCATGGCTGTAACTGTCTGTGCTTTCATAGGGGGCAAAGATGGCCCACCTATTAGGTGCTTCTATAATAAAGTGACCACCACTTCTGGCCTTAGTAGTGGCCAAGCCGAAGTCGGCTGAAAGCCCGCCATCAGGGGAAAAAATATATATATTCCTTTTTATTTTCTAGATTCAGGCAATTGGAAAATAAATAAATATATATATGTGTGGATGTATGTATGTATGTGTATGTGTGTGTTTGTAAGGTGAAAAGTATGTAAATCAGCTTTATAATTTAATTTAGCTTCTCAATTCTTCATTTTTAATTTCGGTATTTCCTGTCTGTATTCTAAAAATAGTAATAACCTTTTCTGGACTGCATCATTTCTGAATCAATCTATGTCACTAACGCTGATGACGTAGCTAATTCGGAACCTGAACTCAAAATTTCGAGAACTGAAACCTTTGTCTTAATAAGCAACCAAAACCTTCTCTTGGTGAGCCTCCTATTGGATAATTGAGCACTTTTGTTTCTAGCTCTGTTTGGCCCTTGTATGTTATTTTGATCTGCTCTATTCCTATTACAACAGTATCAAAAATGTAACTGTTCTTGAATATGCACAATAGAGTGCCAAATAAATTGAATTAACATTGAATATTTAATCTTAATGAGTTACCAAGTTTCCTCTTCAGTGTGGATCTACGTCTTACATCATTGTACAGCACGTGATGAAAAAAGGTATTGCTATGTCTTTTTTCATCATGTGTATATATATATATATATAATATTTTTTTAGTTCAGTTGGTTTTGATGCTTTAGGCAGTTGCCTACCACTTAGGGCCAGCCAAGTTTCCATCTCTCTCTCTCTTTCTTTTTTTTTTTTTTTTTTTTTTTTTAATACATAGAATTTTTGGACTTTTTTAATTTACAAAAATCCATAAAGTGAAAAGCACTATCCAAATATTGAAGTAAACATAAAAGTTACATATTGTCAGACTTTCTCATAATTTTAGTTTGCTTTGCTTTGTATTGTGGCAATGGTTTAGAACCATGATACTCCAGACTTGCCAGAAGGTTCATTAAAAGGAAAGCCGAAGACTTTAGTAAACCATAAAATTAACTTTTATGTATTGTACGAAATTACATGTTTTACCTTTTTTTTTTTTTTTTAGATAAAGGTAAAATATGAAATTTCGTAATGCATGATGATAAGCCAGTGTCAGATGTCGACCACGAGCAAGCAGGAACAGTGAAGTACAATCGCAAGTGAGTCTCTCAATGAAAGTTCAAGTCTTTATACTCCCGCTATGACGAGTGGGCACGGGTACAACCCAGCAAACATGGATTCTTCATGCAAATATTCCGCTACAGTATGTTATTAGAAATATTCGAAATCTTTAAAAAAAGTTAATTGCTATAAAAATAATTAACTGAACTTTGCAGAAAATTTAAAATTTTAAGTTTAAATAAATATTAAAAATTAGCATGAGAACATAATGCTTAAGGGGAAAACTATCAAGAAATTAGAATATGCACTATTTAATTCAAGCTTAACATATTTGCTGCCAATCACACATTGGTGCATGCTTGGCATTTGTGTTGAGGAGCCAGTCACACTCTGGTGCTTAGTGTGGAGGGATGTGTCAGGTGGCAGCCACATGCTGGCATGAGTAAAGCAACGCCTTGTTGTTTATTTTTTGAATATGTATGCTGACATTGGCATGGAGAGAAGGTTAGAAACTAGTTATGAATGTGTGTGATTTAGAATGAAAATAAAGTTTCATTTCATACAAAGTTATACACGAATAAAATTCTGAAATATATAGTTTGCATTGTTATCATTGTAATTATTTTATAATAAATTCATTTGTAATATATATATTTGTTTGTGATATAATATCATATAAAAATAATCGATATTGTTACTTATTCATTTTTAAATGCATCAGCTCATAATGCAGCATTGCAAAAATAGTTTTATCTCTACTGCCGATCATACGCTGGCATGTAGTCATAAAATTCTGTGCTTAAAGGCTTAATAATGAATGTGGTACACATAATAATCTTTTATTACCTCTTCTAAATCATATTTCTTATAGTAAGTGAATCAGCATATGGGTACAATCTATTTCTATGACACAGCATTATCTGTTTGAGCAACCTCACGTCACCAACAGTGCCGACCAGCGGCCGAGCGGTAAAGTCGCTGAAACACTGGTAGTTCGGTTCGAGATTTGAATCCCACAAATGGGCTAGCTGCATGGGCGTTTTCGTGGTTTTCCCCATGTGTAACGTGTATACGAGCCAGTTTCCATTAGAAAGTCCTTCACGAAGGCATCCCTCCCCTTAGGCAGATAGCCCTCGTGTGCTTTGCCATAATTAAATACACACACGTCCCCACTAGCAAAAGTGTTAAGGGGAAAACTATCAAGAAATTAGAATATGCAATATTTAATTTGAAAATGACTTCACTGTACTATACATTGTTCATACTGCTATGTCCTATTATTGCGATTTGTAAATATCATCAATAAAAAATAGTAAAAACAGAAGCTATGAAACTATTTTTTGGAATAATTCATTTTAGTTTTAAAAATAAGAAACAGGATAGTTTGAAGAAGTAAGCATTTAACATTGTTTGTTGAAAATTATCAACTAACTGAAAAGTAATATTTTTAGCAAATTAAAGGAATTTAATTTGTTAAAATATTAACTTATTTAATGGTAGTTTGGCAAACATTACATTTACTCATGAATTCCTTTAGTCTTACTTTTACTAATTTCGCAGCCTTATTAAGAACATGTTTTACTGTGTGATTCAAATTAAGGCAATTGTTTTATAATAAAAAACATGTGTTAAACTGGGAGATATTATACAGTTTTTGAAAGAAGGGGAAAAGAAGTTACAATGTAGTTAGTTGCTGTCTTCAATAATTTGTATTATTCTGTTGTTACTGTTTGAGCTTGGAGCTCAAATACTTGTAAGAAGATCCTTAAAAAGACAAGGTTTCTTTACCTAATGCTTTCCCTCTTTCAGGAAGTGCCTTGCTGTTTGTGACAATATTTTGTTGTTGTTTGATTCTTGCTTAGAGGGGTGTATTTACTTCACAAAAGGAAGGAAAATGCAGGGATCATATGTGTTTTATGATGTTCCATATTTTAGCACTTCACAAGCTATTGTATTTGTTCTATAGTCAATCAATCCTCTTTTCCGTTGTTTCGGCATATTGCTATAAAATGAAGAAAAATAATTTCCAAAAAATCTTGCAAAAATATGGAATATTCCATCACAAGTCTCTCTTTATGAATTATGAATATGATCATCCTGTAATTCTGAAGTTTCACAAATGAAAAGGAAAGATAGGGAAAACCAATAGAAAGAACTTCGAAAGAGATAAACAGTTAAGTTTCCAGGCACATCAAACTTTATTGTTCACCCCATCCTTTCAGCTTGGAAAATGGGGACAAAAAAGATGACCACTGAAGAAACATCCCCATCCTTTCAAACAGAAATGACTATCCCAGCCCAAAAAAAAAAAAAAAAAATGATGTGTTCCAGCTGAATTAGATTGAGCTTTATTTAGCTGGTTTGTAGTTTGAATAAAAAATATAATTGTTAATATTGGTGATATCACTATTTTGCTGACTGATTTGTGGCTATTACTGAAGGCTTTATATTAATATTATTTTATACATCGGTGGACAGTTGCTTAGGACGGATCACAAATGGCTATATAGCATGTTAAAAAGTAAAGCGTGTTTGGATGCCAAGTGAAATAAAATGATGCCAAAATACTGGGACATAAAGATAATTTTTTGTGCTCTGAAATAGGCTTTGTAAGGTGTTCAGGGAACAAAAATGGCTATATTTTTCTGAAAATGTAAAAGTGGGAAAAATGCAATTAATGTCAGCAGGCATTCTGCCATTAGATGTCAATTCCAGATATGGTCACCATGAAGGGCAGTGTAAGATTCCACACAACATTATTCAACATCTGTAAAGGTAATTTATCCCATTCCTCTGTCAGTGCATGGATGATGTGTTCTTATTTATTGGAGAGCATTGTTGACCAACAAAACTCCTTCGCAAAGCAAAAACATTTTCAATGGCATTCTGATCTAGAGAATGTGCTGGCCATACGAGGCATTGAAAATCCTTGCTCTCTAGACATCCCTTGACAGCGACTGTTCAAACATATGTTGTGTTGTTGTCCATGAAAAGTAATTTATCACTGGCACAACAATGGAACATGTGAACATGAGGCAGCAGAACATCATTAATGTATCGCTGGCCAGTTGTAGCCCCAGTTGGAAGCGTGTAGAGCAACGTATAGTTATATTCATATAACAGGACATGCGGGCATATAATCCTCCTTGATGGAAATGTTTGGCCAGAGTTTTTCAGCAGATTTGCTTGCCAGTTGCACAAAGTAACTTATTTTCTACCTCAATAGCTTTGCTATGCCAGTTCTTTTTGTCAATAGCACTGTACAAAATGCAGTATGTACCTATCTTCTGCAGGGGTCATACTGTGAACATGACCTTTCCCATGATGTTTGTGACACATTCCATTCATTTCAAATGATTTCTTGAAACAACATTGTGGCTGGCATTAAACTCTCTAGTAATATATGTTGTTTTTTTCTAATTTCTCCAGTCTTGCCAATAATACTGCCCACACATAAAATCATCTGAGTAATGTCAGGGAGACATACCGAAAATTCCAAGTTCGTCAATTCATTCTTTGCCATTAAATTTTGCATTTGAACAACAAAGGTCAATATGCATCAAATTCTTTATCTCTTTTATGTTTTACATTATTCCATATTTATACTAATTTCCACATTTTCCTGCCTTCCATTTTGTTGCCATCCATGCTATCGCTGCTGCTATCTGTCTGTAGCAGTTGTCCACCAGCATATTAACCAGTCTGTCACTTCTTGTGGCAGTATATTTCCTTTATTTATTAATTATATTTTGCACACTTTTGCAAATATTATCTCCAACAGTAAATAAAGTAATTTGAGAACTATGCAGATGATAATAAATTCATCCCAAAAAACTTAAAATTTTCTTCTCATCTAAATAATTTAATTAGCTTTAAAAGAACTTCATTTTCCACATTTTTGTAAACTTTTTATCAATGAAATTGAAATATTAAGAAACTTGTTGCATCACATTGACTTTTCAAACTTAAAAATTTGTAAGTGTAATTTTTTTTCCCTTTCTCATTCATTATGATTTATTGTATATTGATTAGTTTTATTTTATTGCAGAATATACTTTGAGTTTACCAAAGCTTACTGCCACTTTATTTATACCAGCAACACAGGCAAATGAGAAAATTTTGAAGCTGCAGTGTGGCACAAACACAAGTAAAACTTGCAGTGGTATTTTTAACATCCACGAACAATTTAACTTCTGTAACAAGATCAGCACCTTCATGACAGACATGGCTCTAAGGAACTGTACATAATTTTTTTGAAAGCAACTCATTCTCCTGCAGCTAGCAAAAAAGTGCTTTTTTGTGTAATATGAACAGAAATGGGCACTTTGATACATTTGTAAAATTTGAACTTGTAAATGTATAGTTTTTATGTTGGAAGATATATCATCACATGCAGAAATAAGGTTAATAAGACGCTTGTTTGTGGTTTGTTTATGTTGTGTAAATGTGTTGATTTTAGAATGATCTTGTTGAATTTTTCTTACATTATACTGGAAAATGATCATACAAATAACTTCTTGATTGTGTGATCAAGTTTTTATTAGAAATTGGTATCCAATGGATGCATATTTTCTTCTTGGCAAAAGACTTGTTATATCCATAGTTTTAATGTGATAGTATTTTTATATTTTCCCCTTTCTCTTCTAGAAATTCAGGTATTTACTTAAAAATTATAGCTATATATCAGTTTCTGTAAGTTAAGCTGAAACTTTAAGCTAAAGTTAACTTTTTCTGATAACAAAAGACCAAGTATTTAAATTTCATGTTAAAATTAAATATAATTTTTTAACCAGTGAATAGAATTTTTCATTGGTTAATAATCATTGTATAAATATATTATAAAGGCATGAGAGTTTAGAATGTTATGTAATTTATTCTGCCATCTTCAACTTCTTGGAAAATGTTATATGCATATGTATGTAATTCATTCTGATGAGCATTTAATATACTTATACATTTTAAAGGTTTTCCAGGAAGTTTCACCCTGTAGGGTGTAGTTCTAAAATTGTTGTTACTCTGAAAATTAACATGATCAGTTAATTTTTGTCATCCTAAAATTATGGTAAATTTGTTTGCAGTTTTAATCCATTCCTGTTTAGATACAAAATTGCTATTAAATAATAGTATGACTGTAATTATAAATAAAGCAACTGAAGTTAAGTATCAAGTTATTATCAAAATGTGTATAAATAATAATTGATACTTTCTGTAATTTGAAATCATAAACATTATTTTTCTTATCTCATTATGAAAATATTTAAAATTTTCTTTTAGATTTGCTTGGTAAATTGATTTCGTATTTGAAGAGGACAAAAAGAATGATTTTTAGTGATTTTCTTTGATTTTTAAAATTATTAAAATATTTTTCATATTTTTTTGACACTGAATAACCACATGTATTTGCTTGTTAAGTCTAAGCTTGTGCATGTCATTTGTAATCAGTCTCATCGTATTAAACATAAAATATGTGCTTCTATTCATTTAAAAGGAGTATGTTTGTCATTTATATCACTTTTCCTACCTTTAGATTTTTTTAGCATGTACATTTCATCTTGTTACTCTGTCATTAAGTTATGACCAATGTAAAAGCAAATATATTTCTTCCAAACTTTAATTTTTGATATGTAAGATTTTCGTCAGCTTAGGTAACTTTTGCATGTTATTAGATTTTTTTTGGTAGAGGAGTCGTGGACAAAAAAAAAAAAAAAAAAAAAAAAAAAAACATAATAGAAGAAAAATATTTTTTGTGTGTATTTTGGTGAATAAATATAATATTAAAAAGCATGTAAGAAATTTTAAGCATCTGAGTTTCTATGTATTTGAGCTCCATTAAAATTATTACCTTTAAAAACAAATTAATCTTACCTTCAAATATTTAAAAATGCTCCCACTTAGGTAATTTATATTGTCTGCTCATTTAAGATACAGCAACCATTTTGTTAATAAACTGGGCATTAATTGTAAAAATGTTTCCTTAAATGACATTTTGTAAATCCCTGCCTAATTTACTTATCATTTAATTTTTATCACTTAATTTAGTTCCCAAGCAAAAATGGTTCATAGAACAACTTAGCCTCCATAAATGATTAATGTAATAGATTACTCAGAGTTTAAAATAAATGTGATTAGAAAGCCAGTTTGCATTTCAAATTTCCATAAAAAATTGTTCTTCGTGTTTAATTTTTTATTTTTGCAACCTTTTTGTGATCTGTAACAATTTTATGCACATAAAAGAGAGTCAAATTTTATTATTTTATTTTGGTTTCAGTATAAATCTATATCATTAATAATATATTAATTTGTAAAAAAGAACTGAAAGTAAAGTGAGTGAAAAGGCAGTGAAATGATTGTCTATTCCAGATGGTGGCACTTAAAATTACAGAGGAATATTTGATTGTATGAAGAATGTGGTATTTTCTTTGTGACTGTATTTATCAGTTTTGTTATTATTTTTGAGTTACTTATGTGATTGAAGTACTCATATTGTTTTCACTGAATTTCTCTATACTTGAAATGTAATATTAAAGCTCAATGGCTTTATCCTGGAAAAGTGTAATTATAAGTTGTTGTTGTTTATCTGATAAATATTTTTAAAAACATGTGCTTGCTGCTGATAAAGTATGACTCATTAATCCTAAAATTAGAGTGGAAATTTTAGTTCCTGTTTTGAAGTTTCAAATAAGTATACTCCGATCTTATTTATAGCGTGTGTTTCAAATCCTATGGAAACAATGGTGCTCAGAATGTTTTATTTGTGTGTACCTTCAACATTATTTATTTCATTATCAGAGAGTGCATTTGTTATGTTTGCATAAGGGCGTGTACTTATGTGTTTTTAATTTTTTTAATGCAGGCTTCCTGTTGTTTAAATGGTAATCTGCTTCATTGCAGTTGTTTGGTATATTTATTTACAGCACAGGTTTGTTTTGTATATCTGTGATAGATTCCTTTTTGATGAATTTTTTTTAATAAAACAGTTGCAATTAATTAAACTTTGAGTGTGAAGAAAAGTAAAATAGATAATTTCCTTTCAATAAGTGGAATTTTTTTTTTTTTTTAAATTTATGTTAGATATGTGTTTCAATCAAATTAAGCTCAATAACTCATTTAAGTAAGAATTTTGCATTATATTACATGAGCTTATTTATTAATCTTCATTTATTGTGCCAAAGAGAGCAGTGATTCCCTGGCCCTTTAAATACTGTATTCATTCCACATACCAGATTGAATTGAAAATTTAGGTGATAATTTTTTAAATGTTATTTCACCCTTATATTTTAGATATGTTAATTGATATCTCAAATTATATTAATTTGAAGGCATATATCTTAAATATTGTCCCCATTATGTTTCTTCAAAAATTATTTGATTACCTTTCTTTTAAATTTTAAGATAATTCAAGTTTTAATTCATGCATTAGGGATTTGTGAAAAATCATAAAATATATATGATTTATGTTCATTCTTTACAAAATAATAGCAAGAAAAATACTGGAATTGTATTCTGTTTTATGTATTAAAACTTAACTGTGTCATCTGGATTTTATTTCTAAGGTTTTTCACCTACAGAACAATATATTAAGATTCCAATTGTTGTTTTTTGATATAGAAGCACAATATTCATAATTTTAAGTAATTAACAGCCGACAATTACTGTGCACAATCAAAGTTGTGAATTCTCTGCTGATGATGATGGTATGTGTAAACAGCCAAGTATGAAAGTGTAGACACAGTTGTAAAAATTTTATTTATGCCAGAACTTTCATTGGCAATATATGTATATTATGTAAATATTGTACATTTAGTGTAACATTGTTTGTTGTAGTTCATCATAATCATGATAATTCATAATAAAAGTTGGTTCAAAGGATGGATTTTTTTTAATTAAAAATTGGATATGTACAATTTGTGCTTAAAATATTTAGGTATATGTCTTTGTACATATATACCAATTTCTGATTGCTTTATTATTCTAAACTCTGTGTAGAAATATCCACTCTATCAGATGGCTGCAGAAAGCTAAAATTTGCATGAAATGCTGAGCATATATAAAGATTTTGGGCCGATTCTTGGATAATAAAAGTTTTAACCAGTTTTACATATATTCTGCCCCAGTCTAGAGGTACAGTCTATTTTTTAAAATTCTGTTCAAATTTTATACTGAAAATGGCATGGGTTCCACAAATTAAAAATATGTAGAGTATTGCATGTTGTTTAAGTTTTATAAAGGAAAATTGGAAATTTGTTGCAAACAGCATTAATAAAATGTATCCAAAACAGGGCAAGTGAAATCTGGTTTCTTAAATTTTGAACAAGATGCTGCATGTTCTGAAAGATAATTATGCATTCATAAATTACATCATTGAATTGAAAACCTGTAGGTGACTTTGGATGAAATCTTAGGAATAAGTAACACAGCCAGTAATAAATAATTTTGTATCACTTGCTTGTAAATTCTTGATGTCCATAGGATCATAAACTGTACCCCATTATCGTCTCACTTCAGTTTTATGTTGACACCAGAATGATTTTTATTGAATATAATTACTACAAGAATGTGTTGTAGGAAGACGATTTTTTAAGACATCATAACTTTGACAAATTTCATTAAAATAATGATAATATATTTGAATTACATTTAAAAAATAACATTAAAATAAAACATTTTTATTTTTCGCTGTCATATTATAAAGTTCCATTTTGGCAACTTATTATACAATATTTTGAATCTGAAAAATAAACAAGGTATAATGCTATAAAGCATAATTTATGAAACAGCTCTTAGAAAAAGCAAAATTAGCTATGTAAATAATTAAAAATACCTTTTTTAATTTTTTAATAGTAAGCATTTTCCCCATGTAATTGTCTCAGAATATTAAAAATTCTCAGAATATGCATATGTTTTCTCTATAAAATTAATTTTACACCTTTTTCCCCCCTTTTTTTTCCAAAATATTTCTGGCTTTTTGCTGTTACAGATTTAGTTGGGATAATTTTTCTTTAGTATTTTTGACATTGCAGCTTGGAAAATTTAGAAGGATTTGAAGGCAAGATTTATAGACCCACGATTCTAGAAGATTTGAGAAATATGTGACAAAAGGAAAAATGTCTCCATGGTATCAGTGCGTAATGGATGTACTCTACAGAAAGTTTGCGATGAATTTCTTAAATTTTGGAGAACGTCTAGAAGAACAATGAATGTTTGAATGTTGGGCCGATGACAACTCCTGATACTAGAATCTTTTTCTTAACGTGTTTATCGTGTTTAAGTATTATATTCTCTACTTTTCACTATACACAAGCATGGAAAATATCAAAAATGCTTCTAATCTTATCACTTGGGCAGGCATTATAGAAAGGGATTTTTTTCTATTAATAAAGAAATTGAAAACTTAAATTTAAAAGATCCATCTAATATGTCTTTAATGCATCATACACTAGGCATTTTTCCATCTCATGAAATCTCCGTGAATCCTAAATTCGACTGCATAGTACCTATCTAAATTCTGCTTGCAGTGCCTGTCTTAATTCTAAACGTTTTGGCATTTCTAGATTTTGTTGTTTGGTGTGTCACTAAATTCTAAAAATTCTGCCACACCAGCTCTGTAACTGGTCTTTACTATATATATTTCACATTTCTTTTGAATTCCATATTACTAAAGAAATTAAATTAGTCACTTTTTCTATACATTCTAAATGCATTCAGTGTTTTTTAGAAAAACAGAAATTCTTAATTAAATCCAAAAATTCTAAAATGAAAAGGAAATGTGCTGAAGAAAGAAACTGAATACATAAAGAAAAATATTCTTCAAAGATATGTTATTATTATGTAAATCACCCAATTGTTTATGATTTCAGCCTTTACTACAATTTTCCATTTCTGTTTCCTCATATGATAGAGTTACTGAGCCAGATTAAATTTAAATTAAGTTGTATAATCTTTGACCACTGGTCTACATTTTTAGTTTGAATTTGACTGTTCTTGTTTAATTACGCCACCGTGAGATGTAATTGACTTTGTTAGCATCAGAACATGCCTTTATGTTCTAAGTTCTTTTAAATAAGAGGCTTATTTAAACCTTTGTCTGATATTGTAGTTACTTTCGGACATAGTGATAATTTGCTTCACGTCTGTTGGGGGTTTTAGACTATTTAACTTTTACCAGATCAAGTACACCCTCATAGGTACACTGCTCAAAAAAAAAAAAAAAAAGGGGGGGGGGACAGTTCTATATCTCCCGTTCTACTGGGCCGATTGACAAAATTCAAATTGTGTTTTTCATGTTTTGAAAGTGTGACTTAGGATATATATCAGATTTATATATAGCACTATTCTAACATAGGTATTTTGACACAAAATTGGACTTTTTCTGAAATAACATACCAATTTTTTTACATATTTCGATTCTGCAACTCAAATTACATCTAAATATGAAATTTTGTAAAATTTGAATTTTACGAAGAAATTCATAATTTTATGTTGGCACTTTTTTTTTAGTTCGCGTCAAGAATGGCGAACTTCTTAATATATGCAACCTAGTTTCCTTTCTCGTAAGAGGGAAAAAAGTCACCATCGTTCCTTTTTCCAAATAATATCTTTATATTTTTAATTATAACTGTTATTATTTTAAGTAATTTTTTCTTTTTCGAATTTCATTTTAATTGTTTAAGTTGCATGGTTTTTCGAATAACTGTTTTAAAAATTTCTATTTACCTATTGAACTGCGTAAATAAAGGTGCAGCGTTTATTTTTTCCAATAGTTTCTTTATATATATATATTTTGTCATAGTTAGTTTAGGTAATTTTTAAATTTTTATGCTTTTATTTTAATGTTTGTGTTGCATTGTCTCTTCAGATAATGTTTTAAAATTTTCTATTTATTACTTCGAACTGAGCATTTTAAGTATATTTATTAATATAAATTTTCCAGAATTTGATTTATTTATTTGATTGCGTTTCTTTCGGAAGAATAGTTGCAACCCAGAACTACGATGCGTTTGAAAACTGCATATATTAAAAGAGAAAATACAGTAAAGCGCAGTTAACGTGCCTTTTAATGTTCCGTTCAAAAAAGATACATATAAATAAGAGAGATGTATAACCGACATTTTAACTTAGGATGACTTGCATACACTGCTTTAAACAGTTTTATCATTGTGTCCATTGCTTTACACAATTTTATCCTACATTTGGTATCTTAAAATGTTATTCATATTTTAGTCAAATATTTTATTTTTGAAATCGTAAGAATCAAATATCATAAGATTAAAAGGTTTTAAATTTAAAAAAAATATAAATACTAAATTTTACGCTAAAATTTATTTTTCTTCAGGCATTCTACTTTACTCTTGCTCTTTTCTTTAGGCATTCTGCAAGTATATTAAAAAGCATCCAACTTTTGAAACTAATCTTGGTATTTCTGACAATAATTTTAAATACATTTATCGCCTTCCATTTCATAAAAGGCCCACAAACGGCCGAGCGGTAAAGTCGCTGACACACTGGTAGTTCACTCCGGGGTTTCGAATCCCAGCAAACGGGCTGGTTGCATGGCGTTTTCGTGGCATTTTTCTCATGTGTAACGTGTATACCAGCTGGTTTCCGTTTAGAACAGTTCTTCACGAAGGCATCACCTCCTTTTAAGGCAAATAGCCCGGCTTTGCCGTAATTTAATAATCCAAATCAATCCATTTCGTCAGTATTTGGTTAGAGCCTTTATCAGTCTTTAGAGGCTAAGCATTTTGAAAGGCATGAGATGAAAGGTGGTGTGGTGTGGTTCCTCAAGAGGTTTTGGTATATTTAATTATGATAAAGCACACTAGTGCTATCTGCCTAAGGGAAGGGATGCCTTCGTGGAGGACTTTCTAAGGGAAACTGGCTCGCATACACGTTACACATGCGGAAAACCAGGAAAACGCCTATGCAGCCAGCCCGTTCGCGGGATTCGAACCTCGGACTTTACCGCTCGGCCGCTGTTTCATCAGGAGGGGGGGAAAAAAAAAATCTTTAGGTGACATCCACATACATCACTGGATAAACTCCTGAATCTTCAAATAATTCGACCAAGAAAATCATGGGATTCTCCATTTATAATACGATATGATGTTCTATAACGTAATTTAAATGATATCGTTTTTGTCTTTTCTGTTAACACAAGCTCAATTGATGGTATTTGCTGGAGTACACGTCCAAATGTTTTCTCTTTGAACACCTAATGTCTTTGAAGTATCCTGAAAGTATATTCAAAAGCGTCCAACTTTTTTAAATATCTTAGTATGTCTGACAGCCAAATTTCCCTGCAAATTTTTGCTTACTTTTCTCCCTAATTTTCTTCTTTCCTTCTACAGTTATTTTCAGTGCTCACACAAGAAAATTAAGATTTTCGATTCCTAGACTTCCATGAATTTTGCATTCTTGTCAATTTTTTAAAATATCAATTACATGAATTGTGTTTCAGCTGAAGATAGCTTTCCATTTTCTAGTCATTTTAACTATAAATAAAGTTAAAGCGAAGTCCAAAGAATAAATATTTTAATTAAAAGATTTTTGCTAAATGACAAAGAAATAAAACAGTCCAGCAGGGTTTATTCTGTACCACCGTGTGACCCGATTCCTATATCGGCTAAAACAATCTAAATCATGTTAAAGATCATATTTTTTTATACAATCTATAACGCGAGACAAAAATGAGCTTCTTAAAACATTCTTTCTAAGAGAATTAATGTAAAAGATTATATATATATGTGTGATGTATCAGCTTTTGTCCAGTATAAATAGGTCGTTGAAGAAATATAGCTTAAATTATCAGACGATAAATTTAAATTAAAACAGGATCCATTTATTATTATTCAGGAGAAATAGCAGTTACA